ACCCCCGCGGGGAAAGAAGCTGCCGGGAGGCGGCGGCAGGGCAGCCTCAGGCTGGGGCTGCACTCGCTTCATCAGCGCGTGCCCATTTCAGTTTATGATTCAAACAAACAAAAAATACTGCTTTTGTGATATATTATCCCGTTCTTGTTAGATCGCATGTCATTGTTAGCTGAGGAAAGCGTTGTTTAAAGTGCTGGGCAGTACATACGAACAAGTAAACCAAAAAAAAAAAAAAAAACCAAAACCATATACTTAGGTCAATACATTCCTTGGATTAGAAAAGCCAAGCGGCCAGCAGCGCCCGCACCCTGTGGGCCACCGTGGCGGGGGTGAGCGCTGGCGGGCAGGGGTGGGTGGGGGACCGCAGCGAAGCCAGCACCTTGGCAACCCCATGCTCCAAGAGGGCTGAAGGCAGCCCGAGGTCTCCGCACCCCTGGGGCTGAGCTGCTGCTCGTTCCCCCCTCCCAGCCTGGCCAGGGAGCGGGGCTGGCAGCTCACTGCCGCTCGCAATGTCATTTGTTTTAAATATTGGATTTCTTTAAATAAAAATAATAGTATCAACTTCTGGAGGATAAAAGTAGCCAATACTGGAAATTAACTGATCTGGGTGTAGATAGCATTTATCTATATCTATATATATTTATGCTTAAAAAAAAAAAAAAAAAGGGTTAAATATCTTCTTGAAACCTGTAGCTTTCCTCCACAGTGTGCCTGGTCGACAAAATTCCAAGACTCAGTTCAAACCTTCGAGGCCTGGGGCTCCCCTCTCCCCCTTTCCATCCGGCACAGCCAGCAGGGAAGGGAGGTGAGCTTGGTACCGGTCACCCTGTGCCAGTCCCCAGTAAAGTGTCCTTGTGACAGTCGCCATCTGCAGGCTGCTTGCAGATGGGGCCATTTAACGAACGAGATGACTTTTTAATACTGCCCTACCCTAAGGGGGATGTTCTGCATGCTGCCCATACCCCACGCAGCCTTCCCCAGCTGTCCCGAGGGAAAGGCTCAGCCTTCTCCACTGAACCCTCAAACCTGGAAACCACCAGCAGGGACGTCAGCCCCTCCGATGGGTACAGTCGGCTCCGTGGAGGACGGGGGCTGCACGAGCCACCCTGCAGGCAGCAGCCCCGTGCGCCCCGGCAGGTCCAGCCGCCGCCGCGGGAGCTTTCAGAAGCGGCAGCTCCTGAGGGTCCAGGTCTGCACGGCAGGCACAGCCCACCCTTCGCAAACCCCTTCCCAGGCGCTCTCTGCCCTCTGAGGGCATTGCTCCCCGCGATTCTCAGCACACCATTACTTGACTGTGGGGTGCACCCTGTTCTTGGCCCGGAGGGGCCGTTTCTTCTTCACCACCGGAGCTACGGCGGCATAGGGTTTGTGTGGGGGCAGCACAGAAGCCGCCACGCTGATGCCTCTGCTAGCTCGAAGAAGCCGGCTGGGCACAGAGCCCTGGCTGCCTGGTGGGGCAGCAGGAGACTGGGGGGACAGCAGGGCGTCCCGCAGGGGCAGCGGGTCCGCGTCGGAGGAGATCTCGGGCAAGGGCCCCTGCTCTGTGCTGCCCACACAGTACCTGCTCAGGACGTCCTCCGACATCTGGGTGTCCCTCCTCCTGGAGCGGCGGCTCTGAGAGCCCTCCAGCTGGTGCTCGATGCGGTACACGTCCTCCGTCACCTGGTTGACCCGGTCAAATTGGGCGAGCAGCATCTCAAAGAGGGAAAGGAGGCGCTGGATGTCAGCATCCACTTCCAGGCTATCCCGGGTGCTCAGCACGAGGCTCAGCCCGTCCAGCTGGCTGGAGGAGGTGGAGGCCCTGGAGCTGTCAGAGGCTGCGCTGGGAGTGGGGCCCCGGAAGGACTTGGAGTCACTGGAGTCTCGGGACGGCAGCGGCTCCATCCCCTCAAACCTCACCTTGTGCCGGAACTGGAAGAGAAGAGGGGAGCAGGGGGCAGAGTTATTTTGGGAACTGCTAAGTGGGAACGCTGTGCTACGGCAGTGTCCCACTCCAAACAGCCCCAGGGCTGCTCCCAGCCATTCCTGGTGGGCCCAGCCACGGCACAGACAGATCCCAGATCAAAGTCATGTGGAACTGTGGGACTGAGAACTGGCGGCAGATGCCCCTACACCACCCCACCACTAACCCAGCTCTGGGGCCTCCAGGAGTGGTCACTGCTCCGTCCCTCCCCCTGCCAGAGGAACCTGACTGTGAACAGCAGTGGGAAGTAGCCAGAGGCAAAGGAAGGCGAAGGATGGTGGACGTTAATCCTCTGCAAATGTCTGCAGCCTACTGCCTGCCTCCAGGCCCCTTCTCCACGGCGTCTCCCAGGCTGCACTCACCTCCTTGGCTTTGCTGAAGCCCATCCACATTTTCAGCCTGCGCACGAAGAGCTCCACCATCTCGTAGTCCTGGGGCTCGAAGGCGGGGCGGTACAGCTCAAAGTGCATCTCCCGGTAGCTGTAGATAAGCACCACGGTGAAGAGCCTCAGCACGATCCACACCTCCAGGATGATGTAGCTGGTGCAGAACAGGTAGTAGAGGCCCGAGGACTCAGGCAGGCAGGGGCGGAGGCTCACACTGCCCCGCAGCATGGCAAAGAGCAGCAGGAGGCTGCTGCTGACACTGCGGAAGGACTCCGAGGAGGAGGAGAAGAGCTGCACAGGGGACATTGGAGGCATAATGAGAAGGCATCAGTGGCAAAACGTCCCCCTGACCCCCAATACTCACTACCCCAGCTAAGAAAGCACGAGCCCTAGAGGAGCAGCCCAGGAATCAGCCGTGACAGGGACAGGCCACAGACACAGCCCCCGGCCCGTGGCAGATGAGCACCCAGCACAGGCTGGGCACTGGAGCACCCATGGGGCCCGCTGGGCTCTGCTCACAGCTGTGGTGTGGTGAGGGATGAGGGACAAGACGGGCAGCCCTTGTTGACAGCCAGCCACCCTGCAAGGCAAGGCGGGGGCAGCAGGTAGTTACCAGGAAGCCGAGCTGAGCATAGGCCAGGATGAGGACGGCGAACGCCAGCCCCGCAGCCAGCAGCTCCTTTGCAGACTTCTGAAAGGTTTTCCCGAACACAGACCACTGCCTGACGAAGCGCAGCTGCTGGGCAGCCTAGGACCAAGAGAGAGGATGGCGTTACAAGATGGGCCCATAGCAGAGGCTGTGGTGAGATCCTTCCAGCCCAGGAA